CTCCCTCCTGATACTCTCCCCTCCCTTTCTCCCTGGTACTACCGCTCCCTCCCTTCTGATACTCTCCCCTCCCTTCCTCCCTGGTACTACCCCTCCCTCCCTTCTGATACTCTCCCCTCCCTTCCTCCCTAGCACTACCCCTCCCTCCTGTTACTCTATCTTCCCTTCCTCCCTAGTGCTACCCCTCCCTCCTGGTACTACCCCTCCCTCCCTCCTGGTACTTTCCTCTCCCTCCCTCCTGGTACTTTCCCCTCCCTCCCTTCTGATATTCTCCCCTCCCTTCCTTCCTGGTACTGTCCCTTCCCTCCTTCCCCACCCTTCCTCACCCCTCCTCCCTGATACTACCCCCTCCCTCCTGCCACTTCTGACTATGCCCTCAGTTACTATAGTTAGCATGCCTTGGCATAACACAATCTGTAGTAAACAGAGATGTGTATTGAAATAAAGGCTGCATGGGTGAATACACTAGAATGGATGATATCATCACATCCTATCAGACTGGGGCAGTGTTTATGATGTTCACTAACATGCCTCGACACATGTGCTAGTGTAATGCAATGTCTTGTAACGAGTGTACAGTTATGATTATAAAGACACACAAGTTATGTAGGTATTAATTGATAAAAGAATTAGAATGTTGAACAATTATTCCATATTTTGGTAGGATTAATTTTGATACCTACAGAGTGGCTCCTTTGGAAATCAAATTTTCTGTGATTGTAATCAATTCATAGGAAAGCATTGTACCATCCTCAAGTGTTATTTACCATATAGGAAATTCCGAATTTCAGGGCAGAGGTTGCTATGGCAACTGTCTTTTCTGAGACTACTTATTGTAATTAATGTATTTCAAATATAGTTTTATTGATGCTTGATGAATTTATATAAAAATATATTGTTATTGACATGACACCCGGACTGTACTGTATGAATGTAAAAACAGAACTAATCTTATGTCATCATAAAGTTGGAAAATAGAAAGTACATTTTTCTCTTCAATGATGTATATACTTAAATTCTTATGAGGTCATAAGGGGTCATTTAGTCTGAACAATCTATCCACACATAAGGTCACACAAAAGACTTAACTACCCATCAACACAACAAGGTCATACAGGGTCACACAGCAGTCTTAATGGCCTATCACACACTAAGGTCATACAAGTCTTAACAGCCCATAGGAACACAGCTAGGTCTATACAGGGTCACACAGCTAGGTCTATACAGGGTCACACAGCTAGGTCTATACAGGGTCAAACAGCTAGGTCTATACAGGGTCAAACAGCTAGGTCTATACAGGGTCACACAGCTAGGTCTATACAGGGTCAAACAGCTTGGCCTATACAGGGTCACACAGCAAGGCCTATACAGGGTCACACAGCTTGGCCTATACAGGGTCACACAGAAGTCTTAACAACCCATAGGAACACAGCTAGGTCTATACAGGGTCACACAGCTAGACCTGTACAGGATTATTCAGTAGTCTAATACAGGGTCACACAGCTAGACCTGTACAGGGTCACACAGCTAGACCTGTACAGGATCACACAGCTAGACCTGTACAGGATCACACAGCTAGACCTGTGCAGGATCACACAGCTAGACCTATACAGCGTCACACAGCTAGACCTGTACAGGATCACACAGCTAGACCTATACAGGGTCACACAGCTAGACCAATGCAGGGTTATTCAGTAGTCTGATACAGGGTCACACAGCTAGACCTATACAGCGTCACACAGCTAGACCTGTACAGGATCACACAGCTAGACCTATACAGGGTCACACAGCTAGACCAATTATTCAGTAGTCAGGGTCACACAGCTATGTACAGGGTCACACAGCTAGACCTACAGGGTAGACCTGTACAGGATTATTCAGTAGTCTAATACAGGGTCACACAGCTAGACCTGTACAGGATCACACAGCTACACCTGTACAGGATCACACAGGTAGACCTATACAGCGTCACACAGCTAGACCTGTACAGGGTTATTCAGTAGTCTAATACAGGGTCACACAGCTAGACCTGTACAGGGTCACACAGCTCACACAGCTAGAGCTATACAGGGTCACACAGCTAGGCCTATACAGGGTCACACAGCTAGACCTATACATGGTCACAAGCTAGACCAATGCAGAGTTATTCAGTAGTCTAATACAGGGTCACAGGATTATTCAGTAGTCTAATACAGGGTCACACAGCTAGACCTATACAGGGTCACAAGCTAGACCAATGCAGGGTTATTCAGTAGTCTAATACAGGGTCACAGGATTATTCAGTAGTCGAATACAGGGTCATTCAGGAGAAAGTATCCCAATAAGGGACACACTGGTGCAGATGTAAATAGTTGTAGAAAACTGAAGGTAAAGGATTAGGGTAGGTAATATTATATGTTGATTGCTCTCACTGTTAAACCTAAAGTGGGAAGTACAAGGAATAACAGATTCAGATGGGCCTAATTACCGGTAACTCAAACAATAAATAGACGAGAATGAGGTACATATGCAATACCATACCAGAGATAGAAGAGAATCTTATTTATGAGAAACTGATGAAACTCACGAAAAATTCAAATTAGGATTTTACAAAATCAGTGTTGAGGTCATTAGACAGGACTGGGTTGTAGAAAAATGGTATACATTATGTCAATCATTAATGAAGTGAAATCCAATCGGTTTACAAAGAGAATGATTAATACCGTTCACAGACCTGTAGTGAACTGTTAACATTTTGTAATCACTATAAAACTGCAGCCATATTGCTTGTAACCTGTGACTAGATATTTGAAACAGTTGTATCAGATCAGGAACGCATGTCTGATTTTTTAAAGGTCTGGATGTAAAATCTGCACCGAATGCATGAGGTCAGAGTCTAAGACAGCCATAGACACTATCATAGATAGCGACTCCATTTTGCATATCCCTTGTAATAATATATCTTAGTAAAACATTTTATTTTAGTGTATTTCAAATAAACTTTTACCTTGAAATAGATTCTGTGGTTTTCAGTAATATTTCAGCAGCAGGGATGTTGTAAGTTTCACCTGTTTTTTTTTTTTTTTTTTTAGTTATTTATGATATGCACCAAGTGCTGTCATAAAACCTGCATTTAATGAAAAACTGAAGGTCTGGTTTTGAGTACTTTATAGCTGCATGTCTTCTGTTGATTTAGACAAAGTATTGCTAGAATATTGGTACAAGTTAGAATATTGGTACAAGCTTTGATATTAGTACAAGCCAAGATATTGGTACAAGCTAGGATATTGATACAAGCCAAGATATTGGTACAAGCTAAGATATTGGTACAAGCTAGGATATTGGTACAAGCTTGGATATTGGTACAAGCTAAGATATTGGTACAAGCTAGGATATTGATACAAGCCAAGATATTGGTACAAGCCAAGATATTGGTACAAGCTAGGATATTGGTACAAGCTTGGATATTGGTACAAGCTAAGATATTGGTACAAGCTAAGATATTGGTACAAGCTTGGATATTGGTACAAGCTAAGATATTGGTACAAGCTAGGATATTGGTACAAGCTTGGATATTGGTACAAGCTAAGATATTGATACAAGCCAAGATATTGGTACAAGCTAAGATATTAGTACAAGCTAAGATATTGGTACAAGCTAGGATATTGGTACAAGCTTGGATATTGGTACAAGCTAAGATATTGATACAAGCCAAGATATTGGTACAAGCTAAGATATTAGTACAAGCTAAGATATTGGTACAAGCTTGGATATTGGTACAAGCTTGGATATTGGTACAAGCTAAGATATTGGTACAAGCTAGGATATTGATACAAGCCAAGATATTGGTACAAGCTAGGATATTGGTACAAGCTTGGATATTGGTACAAGCTAAGATATTGGTACAAGCTAGGATATTGGTACAAGCTTGGATATTGGTACAAGCCAAGATATTGGTACAAGCTAGGATATTGATACAAGCCAAGATATTGGTACAAGCTAAGATATTGGTACAAGCTTGGATATTGGTACAAGCTAAGATATTGGTACAAGCTTGGATATTGGTACAAGCTTGGATATTGGTACAAGCCAAGATATTGGTACAAGCCAAGATATTGGTACAAGCCAAGATATTGGTACAAGCTTGGATATTGGTACAAGCTTGGATATTGGTACAAGCTTGGATATTGGTACAAGCTAAGATATTGGTACAAGCTTGGATATTGGTACAAGCTAGGATATTGGTACAAGCTAAGATATTGGTACAAGCTAAAATATTGGTACAAACTTGGATGTTGGTACAAGCTTGGAAATTGGTACAAGCTAAAATATTGGTACAAGCTTGGATATTGGTACAAGCTTGGATATTGGTACAAGCCTAGATATTGGTACAAACTTGGATATTGGTACAAGCTTGGAAATTGGTACAAGCTAAAATATTGGTACAAGCTAGGATATTGGTACAAGCTAAGATATTGGTACAAGCTAAGATATTGGTACAAACTTGGATATTGGTACAAGCTTGTATATATGTACAAGCCTAGATATTGGTACAAGCCAAGATATTGGTACAAGCCAAGATATTGGTACAAGCTAAAATATTTGTACAAGCTTGGATATTGGTACAAGCCAAGATATTGGTACAAGCTAAGATATTGGTACAAGCTAGGATATTGGTACCAGCCAAGATATTGGTACAAGCCAAGATATTAGTACAAGCCAAGATATTGGTACAAGCTTGGATATTATTACAAGCTAGGATATTGGTACAAGCTAAGATAGTGGTACAAGCTAAAATATTGGTACAAGCCAAGATATTGGTACAAGCTAAAATATTGGTACAAACTTGGATGTTGGTACAAGCTTGGAAATTGGTACAAGCTAAAATATTGGTACATCTTTGATTCCAGAAGAAAATTATATTTCTTAAAATCTTATGCAAAATTACCCTAAATAATGAAATCTTTAATGTATTTATGGACCTTTGAAAATTAAATATCTTGAATGTTGATATTTTTCAGGTGGAAAGGGAAATTGCAATAATGAAGCTGATAGAACATCCACATGTATTGGGCCTATATAACGTGTATGAAAACAAGAAATACTTGTAAGTATGCCACAGTTTACTCATTAGATTTTCAATACATGAAATTTGTTTTATTTATTCTTATATTTCTTGTTTCCAAACTTTGATTTAAATTGAAAAAAAAGTTTAATTTGTGTACTTTTAATTTCATCAATTAAGCAATTTCTTTCACAATAAAATTTTAAAACAGTTATTCTGCATATTCAAAAATATCAGAAAGAATCAGAAAAAACGATTATCATCAATCATTGGTTTGGTTAGAAGTTCACAAGGCACAGTTTGTAAAAATTAGGATCTTTGACAAGCAATTTGTAAAATAAAAAGAAACGTGTGATTGATGAAAAAGATGTAGTCAGTTTTGTACTCCATGCCAAAATTAGTCCTGTTCAAGTAGACATGCATTTATCAAGTGTGAGGTGAGTATATTGATGTGATAGAGCGAAGGTTGTTTTACATAAAATTTGGCTGCTGTGGTGGAGGTAGAGATAATTGTGGCTCCCTCAGAGATAGCCCTGTCAGCAAACATGCCCCAAAATTGAAAAGTTTCACTTTTAAATGCCATTCATCAACAGAGCTGTCAAGGTACTCACAGTAAAGTATAAATGGCTTCCAGCAGGTTGTAGATAATCACACTGAAGTACAGACAAGGATATATTTTAACTTTTTTTTTTTCAGAAAGATGTGATTACATGTAAATAGTGTAAATTTTGAGAAAGAATCAGTTTGCTGTGAGGTCTAAGGCAATCTGTCTGAATTAGAACTCAAGTTTAAGTAGACAAATATTCCACTTGTGACATTAGTGTAACTTGTGTCAAAATGGTTCCTATAATGAGTTTGTAAAATTTGTTCAATCTTGACAGCCCTTCATTTTTTTGTTTTGACTGTTCAAAATTAATCTTGTGTGATGTATTTGACAGAAACTTGAAGAGCTAATTTTTGAAAGTCATAAATATCATGAAAGAAAATCACTCTTAAAAAAATGATCTGTGATTAAAAAAAAATGTAATACAATTTTTTTTTTCGTGTTATAATGGTTTGTCTAATTTTCTATGATGTAAATTGCATAATCTAACCTTTCTGTTTGATTCAGAAAAAAACTTTAATGGTATTTTTCCCCAGTGCAAGGCAAAAACATTTATCCAGGAATTAAAATGTTAAATACATATATATCATAAATTGAAAAGATGAGATTAACCCATTCCATGTTTTTTAGCAATTAACTGTACAAAAGCTACACAGAGAGGTTTGAATTTCTCAGGAAGTCATTGATATATATATATGTAAAGAGAAAAAATATTTGGCAGGTAGCACAAAGCTGGATCTTCTCTTAGTTACGAAGATTACAAAATAATCTATATCCTTCTTTGATTGACAGTTTAGTAATAAAAAATTCCTATCTTCCCTTGGTCAGCTATTTGTTTTTTGTGTTTATCACAATTTGCTTCCATCATAGAAGACTTAGCAAGTTCTTCATGTAGAATTTCACTTCCTGTCAAGTTTATCAACTTTATATCTTTGTTTTGAACTTTCTTATTTGGGTAAAGAACAATGTAATCTCTGAAATGAATACAAAAGATGTATGTATGGAATGCCTTTAAAATTATGTTTTAATTAGAAAATTTTGTTAGGTAGGATTTCTCTTATTTAAATGAATAAAACTGGAAACCAAGCATGGATATTGAAACACAGAAAAGAGCCACAGGTTACGTTCATGTTCTAGAGTCAGAATTTTATCTTTTACACACTTTCATGCTGAATACTGAATTTTTCAATGATGATTCATACTTGCAGTTATCCTGTTTTCGTAAAGTTGTATCTCTCACTCCCACCCCCAATCCTGCTCCCCTTTTTTTCATTAAATCTGAGTACAATTTTTAGTGATATGATGTAAGAGTCCCAACAGGTTTTTATGACTTTAAGACTCTATGGATGAATCATATTAAGTGCCAATGCCTCCTTGTGTGCAATATACTTTTACATGAAACTCTTTAAAGATTCTTCCTCAAAGGGGGAGGGAGGACTTTTTTGTGAAAATGAAACTCAAATGATTCATGTATTTATCTTTATAATCAGGCTAGAATTTTAGTGTTCCTTAATGATCAACTGGAGTCTTAACTTTTTCTTTTAATTGTGATAAACAATTATTTGTTATGTACTTTCATTTTACATTTATTTTATTTGGGACCGCTAAATATATGTAGGTCTTAGTAGATCTCTACCATTATGCAGAAAATGTCTTTGAAAATGTTTTCAAAATTAGATATTTTGCACCTTCTTTGAAATTTTTTAATGATGCTTATAATAACATAGAGGAATTGTCCATGTTTTTATTTTACAGATATCTTATATTGGAGCATGTTTCTGGAGGAGAGCTGTTCGACTACCTCGTGAAGAAAGGCCGTCTCACACCAAAAGAGGCACGGCGTTTCTTCAGACAAATTATCTCAGCCCTAGACTTTTGCCATAGCCATAACATCTGGTAATGTTAATCATCTCATGAATTTTCTTTTTTATATTCAGTTTTCAAACTCCATTATTGATGTATTCATTCTTTTCTTTGTAAATATTTTTCATATGTGTACATTAATTAAAGAATCAATTCACTCTAATAGATAGGTTGTTTTTAGCTCACCTGGCCAAAAGGGTCAAGTGAGCTAGAGGGATACTGTGGTGTCTGTCATCCGCCATCGGTCCTCTGTCAACTTTTCCATATTAATTGCAGCTAATCATGAATGACTGAGCAGATTTCAATCAAATTTGGTTTGAATCATCCTTAGGGGAAGGGGAACCAATTTCATGTAAATGATTGGTCTCGAACCTCCTGGAGCCAGAGGAGCGGGGTCCAATAGGGAAATCTATCAGTTTCTTTAATATCTATTTTGTTCTTCATGAATTGCAGTATATTGTCCAAATTTGATTTGAAGCATGCTTGGTTGAAAGGAAATCATTTTGTGTAAATGATAGGCCTTTGGCCCCATGGGGCCAGAGGGGCGGGGCCAATAGGGAAATTCTATCAACATCTTTAAAAATCCATCTTTTTCTTTAAGAATTGCAGGATATTGTACAAAATTGGTCTGAAGCATGCTTGGGTGAAGAGAAATCAATTTTGTATAAATGGTGGATTATGGCTTCCTGGGACTAGAGGGGAGTGGCCCAGTAGGGAAAATAAAGTAAATTCTTTTAAAATCCTTCTTCTTCTGCAAGAATACCTGGATGTTGTCGAAATTTAGCCTAATGCATGCTTGGGAGAAGAGGTATTAATATTTTAGGAAGGATGGATCTGAGTCCTGTATAGTGGGAGTGATGGGGCCCAGTAGGGGAAGAAGGCAAATTCTTCAGGATCACTCTTATGAAGGAATGGCTTGATTCTGTCCCAATTTGATGTGGTGAGACATGCTTGGGAAAAGGAAATCAATTTTGTATGAGCAGTGGCCAATTGGGATCAGAGAGACAGGACTAAATAGTGGACATAGAGCAAATTCTTTAAAATCTTTACTATGTTGAGAACTTAGTTATTTTCAAACAGCTGCATCTAATCCCCTTTTGAAGGAGGGTGGAGTCTGATACAGGGAAATAGATACATGTGTTTTAAATACTTTTCCCTGAGTTAAAATAACTGTGTGATGAAAATCTTTTAAACATAATCACCATTGTCACAGAATATTAGAATGTTCATTGAGTCTGATGATGTAAAATGTCAGAATTACAGGTGGTCAGTTGAGGAATGGTTTCCCATATTCTCCATGGAAGAAACTCATAACTGTATTAAGTTACCATGGTGAACACAGCTTAAAGATACATAACCTCATTATGTGTGGGATGGAGATTGCATTACATATTTTGTGTGGGAGACTTCTGTCAGTATGGTGTGACAAGGTCAAATCAAGGTCGTCTCAAGGGATAAGAGGGATTAAATTCTGTTTATAGCAAATGGCCTGTGGGAGATTTCCTGTGTGCTAGACAAAATATCAAGTATAATAGGCAAAGAATAGAAATGTTTTGATGAAGATTTGCAAAGATTTGTTTCTAAGGCTTAATAACTGTCAGCTTTGTACAAAATCTGTAATCATTTAAAACGTAGCCAATCTTTTGTTAAAGTGCTGTGAATATTTGAACATTTTGTAATAGGTCCATGCTTGTTTCTAATTACCTTGTGTTTAATAGAAGTTCCTCAGAAATGCCAATTATAAGGATATACTGACATTAAAAAAGATGATAGATTTTTCTGGATTGGGAGAAATTTCTGGCCAGAGATTCAGATTTTGAGAAATTTGTTAGTTTGAAGTTGATGGGTGTATTTAAAAATGCTCTGATGAAATATTTGTGTTTGTTTGACAGTCACAGAGACCTGAAGCCGGAGAACCTGCTTTTAGATGACAAGAACAATATACGGGTAGCAGACTTCGGTATGGCCTCACTTCAGGTGGAGGGCTCCATGCTAGAGACAAGTTGTGGGTAGGTTTTTATAGTTGTGTTCAAGGTCATAGGCATCTGTATCAAGGTCAAATTATTACAACTGTTTCAAGGTCATTTTTTTCTTAATGATGCTGATGTAGAAAGTTAAATTACTTCTGCCTTTGGTAAATTTGATTGCTATCAGATATAAAATTCACTTCTTTTGCATAAAGTCTGCACCATTATCTAAATAATAATTTTTAGAAAAGATCATAATGATTCTAAGTATATTACAAACGTTAACATTACCAAGGTCACTACATTTAAAACTAAAATCGCTGATACAACTCTGATCCTGCTGACCTTTAGAATTTGTAATGCTATTTTAAGATGACGGGAAAAGAAATTTCCTAACCTGCAGGAAGTGGCTAGGATTCTAAAACGCGTACCAGAACTCAATCAATAAAATCAGCTGCATTATTGGGAGGAGTGCGGAAGGCAACAGACAAAATCAATACCGTATTTAACTGTATAAGCATAATGCTCTGCGATTACAAAAACACAATTGGTAAAATCTGGAAAAGAAATGATCACAAAGTCGCTTAATGAGTAATGTTTTCGAATTTGTATAGATATTTTGTGATTGGAATAAATGATTTATGAGAGATCTAACATGGAAACGCTAGCTTCAAAGGAAAATATGCTTTAGCAATTGATTTATTTGATAGAAATTATAGTGGAAAACTAGTTATAGTTGAAGGTGTAACTTCATATACACAAGACATAACGTCTTGAAAAGGATATCTGATTTGTTCTTGTCATGCATAGCATATCATGGAGCACTAGCTTAGTGTACATTCAATAAACCTTGGTGTAATCCATAGGGATGCTCCTTTTCTGTTATATTACTGTATCTATACTGTTGAAAGGTTATTCTTGTGGGTAATCCAGTAGATTGCAGGGATATATCCTTGTGTGTACACACAAATCTATAATGGCCACACAAGGGAACAGAGCAATTTTAGACAGGTGGCCTTTACATAGAGGTTACATTATTATCAGTCACAGTAAAATGAGACTGGAAACAAGCAGCCTTTATAGAGAGGTGCTTGTTATGTAGAGGTGACTTTCAAGGCAGGTTTTTCTTTACTTACAGATACAGGTATATAAGATACATTAAAAAGGACAGGTGTGTTTGATAGTCACCCGACCAGAATTAATAAGACAGGTGTGTAAACTGTCACCCTAAAAGGAACTAATAAAGGGGACTTTAGGTTTCTACTCCATCAGACTATCAGCTTTGCATGTGTCCAAAACTTCAATGAAGGATCTTCAGGGAGTCCATAAATTCATTCCAAAATATCCTGATTCTTTTGTGGGTTACCGGTTGTGTATTTAAGTACCATACATAGGAATAGCAGTGTGTCACTAGGTATCTTCCATACTGTTTTACCAAACATCAATAGATACAAGATGTACAAGTACGCTAAGACAGTGGAATGTCATTTATTAATGTTGAGTGACTTACCTGAAGGTAGAGTTGTGGCCCTTTGTTCACCATGTCACATACATTATCCAGGCTGATTTTGGTATCCCTACATCTCCAACACTTACAAAATTTTGTGTACAGGCACATTTTAGTATGATAGTTTGTGATTGTGAAATTAGACCATGTGCCTGTAGTATATACAGAGTTAAAGCCCTTGATTTGATTTTGATTCCAAAATGTACCTGGAGATGAAGGAATGTTTGATATTAAAGATATTCTACCTAATGTCAGGTAGAATGAAAGGTATGTAGATTCATACATAGGAAGGTTCAATCTATACATGGTGTTTGACTGAGCTTAGTCAAATTTTAGTTACTTATCAGAATGTTGTTGTTTCTTCGTCTTTTCTGTTATCTATTCATTCCCACTGGTTTATCAGGATGGGGCACTTCCCAGGAATAATTAATTTTGAGAATGAAACTTCTTAAAAATATTATCATTTTATTGCCAGAATCTCTGAGTGTGTTCTTTATTTTAGTTTTTTTTTTACTGGTTGTATTGAAACTTACGTATTAAAAGAATTTACATTCTTGGCAAAAACAAGGAAAAACTAGACCAGGTTGTTGAGAAGTTACTGATGTATTTTTGGCATGGATATTGAACTTGAGATACGATTGGTTCTGACTTGGAAGAAAGTCAATCTGCTGTAATATAAACACATAACAATATATTCTGAAACAACTTACTTGGTATTTAAATTATGTAAACATATTGGTAGGTCAATAAGGCATAAAATATAGAATTCAGAACCTTCTCAGTTATTTGCAGAATTCTGTTTATGTCCCGGTCATTTTCTTGGGGTTAGGGTTTTGGATAAAGTGTTACTCATGTCCATCTTGTCACATCCATTACACCCTGTTCATGAGTCAGGATGTTTGGAAAGTACCTTGATCCACTTTCAAGGTCAAAGCTAGGTTTCAGTTGGAGGAAAAACATGACAAATAGCTAAAACCCAATAGGAATATTAAATCTCAGGCCATTCATCTTGATGAAAATTGAGAGTTTGATTAACTAAACCGTATAATTATTAATTACTATAGGAAGTTGAATGTAACATAGAAACAAATAATGCATTGACAGTTGAAATATTCTATCTACATATCATGTGCATAAATTTATATGTGCATCATCATTAGCCTATTTATCATAATATGACTGATATTGATCATAGTGTAGTCTTTACGTATTTATCATCCTGTAGTCCTATATATCACAGTATAAATCGTTAGTCCTATCTATCCTAGAAGTATATGTATATACCCTTGGTATCTAGAAACCATCCTGTTTATGACTAAATTGACTGCATTGCCCAGGTTACTTGAACTTGCGTCTCATTATTCATTCTTTAGTTTTCAGTTGAATTGTCACCTTTTTCATTCCGTATCAAGGTCATTTTATGGGTCTTTTCAGGGTCAGTAAAAGGTATACCAAATCAAGGATATATAAAAAAAAGGCCAAGGTCATGTAAGCAAGGTCAACATCATGTATATTTGTCATACAAGTCAAAGCGTTGTTGTTTACCTGATCTGTGGTCATGTATACTAGGTGAAGGTCATGTACACAAGCTACCAGAGTTATGTGTAATATGTCAAGGACATGTTTACAATGTCAAGGTTATATCACTATGTAGTGGATCAAGCTTTGAATACAAGCAGTTGATATTCATGTATTTAATGCCATTGGGTCACAGCCTTATATACGGCCATAATATTCTGTTTGTAAATGTTATGAAATTACATGCTGATTCAAGGTCACATATTCATGCACTGTGTCAAGGTCACATATTCATGTAGTGTGTCAAGGTCAGGTATTTGTAAGAATGATCATGGCTATGACTCAATGTCTAACTCTGGTGTATAGCTATATAAATACATGTGATTATTCTGGCCATAATTTCTCAAAATCAATGTCGGAAGTTCAAAAAATGTCCTAACATATGTGTAAGTATTGTACAGAGTTAATTTTAAACAAAAAAAAAAAAAACCCAATAGTTTAGGACATTTTCCACTATCCTGTATTGCTTATGTATAGAAAATTTTAATTAAGGAATTTCCTGAAGTGAAGGTATGTTTGTGTAAATGGAGGTTGGAATATGTATGCAGATTCTCTAATAAATATAACCTTATATAGTGGAATATAATATCTTACTTTTACGATACGCAGGTCACCTCATTATGCATGTCCTGAAGTCATAAGGGTAAGAATAGCCAATGAGAATGCATGTTGTGGACATGTTTTGCTGTTACCCTTCCTTGTAATACACAGTTATATCAGTTTATTTGCACTTTCTATAGATTAGAAATATGAAAAACATTACAATTGGTTTGTAGAATGATCGGATGTCAATGTGATGAAGTGTCTGTCGCCAGCTTTCCATGTTGTGAAGTGACCAGTGGTCACTGTGTTTAAATCTGTGCTCAATGTTGTGTGTTCTGTTTATATTTATAGCATGTTTATCTAGTTAATTTTGACAGAACAACCATTGCGAGACAGGAGTCTTATTGAAGGTTCAACACCAGGACTCTCCATCATTCTGTTAATCTGTTTGATACTTTTTGTAAGGTTAAAATCTTTCATTTACAGCCACAGAATTGCACACATGGATGAATTTATCTAAGGATTTCAGTGTCATGATCTAAATTTGGTCTTGTATCTCTCATTATATAGAGTTAAGGTCTTTTGTTTACTGTGTCACACTCTATCTGAGATATATATTGTGTAGGACTATATCACACAACTGCAAATTTTGTGTACAGGTGTCTATTTCAGGTTGCAGAATGTTATAATTTGAAATAAGACTTAAGATGAAGAACAGGATATTTTTTAATTACCATAACTTAAAACAAATATCATGTAAAAGTTCACTGGTTCAAGTAAACTCAATGTTACAGCTGACTTAGTCAAGCTGAGGTCAGAAATCAACAACAAGGAGGGGTAGATTGAGACAGCCAAAGCAGAGGGGGACAGGGCTGGGATGTCTTTAGTCTAATGATGTCGCATGATAAATGTTGAATGTGGATAGAAAAATGGAGTCGAAATACTCACAACAACACAAAATATTATACCTACAGGATGTTAATCATAAAATGTGTTAAATATATTACAGAGTTATGTCCCTTAGTTCTTGATTTTTATACTCTCACAATTTTATGGTCATGGTAGAGAGGATGAAGCATTTGATAATGTCAGGCATGTGACTTTTTTCCCATTCTGTCCTGTCTCAGTTTAGTTCATTGTTATGTTAGCTGCATTTTAACAAATGTCAAGGATAAGAATATCTCAAACAGATCCTCATGTTCCAGAATATCTAGATCACTGTTACTATTTATAGACATTTATATCCAATTTAGTATCATTGCTATAGCATCTTTCCTTTCTTAATGGAAGTCTACAAAAGGTCAAACGGGAACTGGAAAAGCTTTGTATTTCAGTATAAAAGTACATAGTAACATATTTATTCTCTCATGAATATGTACAGAATAATAAAATGATATTCACAGGAATTAGTTCAGATGTTTTGGCTTCTGTGATTTAGTTATAGCTGATAGACCAAGATCATAATAGGCTTGATTTTCTCATTTCTGCTGTGTTAAGTATGGCATCAGGAAGGAATACATCAATTTATTTACCTTTTAAGTATGGTAACTTTAAAGAGGTAGAAGAATTGAAAGTAATCACCTCACACATTGAATCAGAGTGTGGATATCAAAGAGATTTTTTTCCTCTAATATATGGGTTTTGACAAGCCAATTTTTCTTCCAAGATAATTGTTTACTTGTACAAAAATAAATCTAAAGCATATTTTTCACAAAATTGTTTCTGTAACAGATATAATGCCAAGTTTTTGTCTGATTTTAAAAGCATGTTCATTATCAGTCAAACAGAAGGTATTTTTAGTTTTAAAGAGTTTGAGTAAACAACCAGTGAGCACTTGATGACCCCAACTTACACAGATGTTTCTTTGGCTAATTGACACGGAAACTGTAAGGAAATGAAGTTAAGGCAGATATTTAGAGTTCTATGAATGATTAAAGTTATCATCATTTTAATTTCAATTTTATATTTAAGATCAGTTTGGAAATAAGTTAAACTAAAGTGAATGTCATTTGTAGCTTTTTTGAAATATTTCCATCATCTTTAGATTCCAGACGAGATTAATTTGATTGTTTAAGGATTTGAAATGTAATCCACATCAGTTTCTCTGTGTGGAACATTAAGAAACATTTACCAATGAGCTTCAATACTCCTATAGTAATCATATTCTATGTGAAATAAGTCCATGGGGCACTACATAAATGATTGACTTAATGGAGGTTAGTGAGGTGGGTGTGGCAGGAGGGGGCTTACTACAGAACAACAATGACATGGCATAGAAAGTGCTAGTTTTACAATACTGTTTCACTGACTGAACAGTAACACATATGGGTGGGCTTATTACTATACCTGGATTTACTGCCTGATGATTAGGGTACATCATGCTACAGTGTGATGGATGTTTTTGCTTCTGTGTTGTAACTGTGGTTAGACAGTCCAATCAACTAGTTGTCTGTGTCTATAACATGTCTAAGATTATAACTATGATCTTACCATATCACCAGCAGGATGAGTAGATTAATCAAGTATGGTCATAACAGGTTTTTGTTTTCCATATTACAATTTCATTTCAGTGACAATTACCATAACTTTAGAATGCAAATATGGTACCTACAACCATCTTTGTATCCCAAAAATAAAAGATTCATAGAAACATAGAGTGATTTCTCGTCCTGTAAAAACCTTCATGGTCACAACAGGATTTTTGTTTTCCATGTTACAAATTCATATCGAGAGCAAAGGACTTGATATCAAGAACACAGGAATTTTTGCCCTCCTACCCATTACTTATTATTATTATTGTAGCACCCTAATACAGACAGCCTATGATATTAAAAAAATTCAAAAGGCCCTTGGGGCCTGTTGTTATAAGATTTTATTAAACTGTTCATCATAGGTGTATGACAGGGTTCACTGTTTTATCAAAACGATATTGGTGATATTCTTTCCTTTACAAGTTATGGACTCTTAACTCGTACCTGAATGTTTATGTAATAATAAAATAACGATACAATTGAAAAATATAAAATTCTAGTAATTTGAGGTAAGTTTTTGGCATCCACAATTGTAAGTGAAAACATATTGTTTGTCAGTGTGTTTTTCTTGTTTTCTTTTTCTTTTCATTGGGTGATTGTTGATTCTCCTGGTGTAGGGTGATTATTTCACCAGCAGAAAATGTGCTCTTTTGTCAACTAGACTGATATATTATGTGTAAATATATAATTCATTTTTACCACCAGCTTCTCTGCTGTATATGGGTAGGAAACTTGTTCCATAAAGCCAATCCTACATCCCAGTTTAAAATGTCCGTCATGCCTGGAGGTCTACTTTATTGATTGGTTGTTGTGTCTGATGCTTTGATTGGCCAGTCTGTTAACTTAGTGGCCTGCTCTGCATTTGTTTTGGATATGAAGATGCACTCCACATTGGCTGCCTATTTATTGGCTTCTGTAGTGATCAGTAGAATGTACCAATAATTACAGCAATAAAGGCAAACTTATCATCAGCAAAATCTAGGAAACTCACAAGTATTCATGTAGAAACTGTCCTCATATCCAAATTGTGTTTTACTGTGTGGAAAAAGGAATGGTTTACATTTTGTAGTTTTGTTGTTATGTTGTTGTACCAATATCCAAAACACACTGTAAGTCTTTAGTATAATAATCTCTAAATGTTTACGTCATTCATTTTACTTTCACAGTAAGTCGTGCTTGTTAATATAATGGAAATATTCCAACATTATTTTTTCCAAAATACAAGCTTTTTCATCAAATATTTTGAAATATTTCTCTTGAATATCTCAATCAGTGAATTGATATCAATGTCCATGAGAAAATTTATGATATCTAGTGTACTATAGATTATACTAAAAGCCACATATATTGGTGGCATTGGCGGAACAGACCTGGATTATCTCCCTTGTTTGGACTTCTCAATATAACTAATTACCAATTATTTTCTCTGCAAAGTTAATAAAACATTTGTTCTGCCACTAATGATGGTCTTCAGGCAAAATTTCTCTGAAAACCTAAATTATGCAATTGTTTTATGGTATCTGCAATTATAAAATACATTAATATTGTAAATTCATTCTGAAACAGACACCCACAAACCAATTCTTGTGTTTCTCTTTCCCAACATTGATCTCCCTTTTTAATGGCATCAGCATATATATAAACATATTATTTTTTCCCGAGGTTGATTAAAGGATTGATCACAAATCTGAAAAGGTATTCACTCTATGATATTGACGAAGTGGATAAAGTGTTTTTTTACTGTTTACTTCCTGTTAATGACATAAGCTGGACATATTGAATGTGACATAAACAGAAGAAGAGAATATAAATCTGTCTATATTTGATTTATAGGGCGAGAAGTATGATGGCAGGAAAGCTGACGTTTGGAGCTGTGGTGTTATACTATATGCGTTATTAGTTGTAAGTACACAGCACTAATCAGAAGTCTGGTCATTATTTTATCATAAGGATTTGTTATTCCTTCAGAATTTTTTATATTATAATTATATGATAATGAAACATTTTGCTTTTATTGTTCAATGTGCAAACTGGTTTGATTTTGTGATTTAGAAAAAGAACTTAAATTGTGTAAGGCTTTAAATATCATATCAAGTTGAGATTATTTCAAAATGAACAGAAAGGAAAAACATAGTTTTACTGCTGATTTATTAAGATGTGTAATATATTAACTTTTCAGTTAGATATAATATTGGTAAGCATTTCTTTGGAGTAAATCTGAATCCCTAATCAACAAGTCACAGTAACCATAGAAACCTATGGAACCCTTCTGTCTGTAAAAGTTAAATAAGTGATTTTATTTCCCAGGGTGCACTTCCATTTGATGATGACAATCTTAGGCAGCTTTTAGAAAAGGTTAAAAAAGGCGTGTTTCACATTCCACATTTTGTCCCACCTGATTGTCAAAACTTACTACGGGGAATGATCGAGGTGGACCCCCATAGAAGATTTACTGTGAGTATGGCATTATGTCTGGTTGTATAATGTCCTGTAATGTTATGTTGTACCAATGTAAGGCATTAATTGTCTAAAAACTGTACCAAATACTTAAATATATTGCTGCTATCAGTAAAGCTTACAGAAAGTTAGGAGCATTTTAATTGACTTCCGTATCAAATATTTGGGTGTTAATGTTGATTATATATCAGAGCTGTAGCTGGAAGCAAAGAATCTCTTGATTTGTGCAGAGATTCTGGAGATAGATATCGTCAGACTAATCCAGAGGGTTTTGGAATTTTTTTATTGTGTTACCACTTCAATAAAATGATCCCTAAGGCAGTGTTTCCTGATAGGAAATGATCAGTTATCTAGTTCAAGTTACAGAGGTTGCACTTAGTAAACTTCTAAACATGCCATGATTTAGGTACAAAGATATTAACATATTATGTATATACATGTAAAATGTGTGTGTCAGTTTTACCAACAGCATCTAGCACTTATGACAATAAACAGACAAGTTAATCAGCGATTTTTTTCCCTGAGCCATCGGAGGAAACATTATTGAAAATATATATATATATATGAAGGTCATATTGATCAGCAATGATATTAAAGCACAATATCGTGTAAAATTTGGAAATATTGAAGATACAAAATGAGTTTTGTAATTTTGTTAACGTTGGGTTATTTATCTGAGTATGGCCATTGTTTTGGTCCTCAGCATTAGTGGAGTTGTCATTTACTGCTCCTCTGTATACCTCTGTTGATTGATAAATCTTTATGACATCTTAATTTCAATTATTACAATTCAGCAGTTATCAAACTTAAGTTTAAATGTAGATACATCTTTAACATTACTATATAATCAAAAATAGGTCACCACATTTGTAGCCTCAGACTTTAATTTGACAGTTTAAATTTTATCTATATCAAAACAGTTTGATTGAGAAATAGTTTTCAAAATTAAGGCCCAAAGCATCCCCAAAAAGTCCCAAAAGGACAAAAGAGCAATATGATTCAGTTTAATTCAACATGTGGTTCAACTAGGTCTTTGAATTGAAAGGTGCTGTTACCACATGTGTTTTTTTGTACAATCTTTGGCACTTCTTATAGAAATTTAGGGAAAAATCAAAAGAATAAACTTCTCTTTTCTTTTTATGTTACAGCTTGAAGATATCCACCGCCATCCATGGGTCTTGACGTAAGTTCTTTGGCAGTTTGACCTACTTTCACTTTAGCATCATTTTACATTGTCAGAACAAATTGCAGTATACCTGATCAATAAAAGAAATACACTTCAAAGATTTGATGTATAAATGTCTGCTAATATTTGTTTAAACAATTATGCTTGTATTGAATACAATTTGAAAGGTAATTTCAATTGTAAAATATGATGTATGTATGGATTGCTTATAATACAAAAGAAATATTAGCTTAAAATTTTTAAAATCAAGGACATTTTCAGAATTTTTACAAATCTTTATAATAGTTTTGCTGTTGCAGAAGCCAAAACTGATCTCTACCATGTGTTATTTGTATTTTCATAATCAATTAAATGTTATCCTGTTTTTAGTCCACTATCATCAGAAGGTGACCTACCAAATGGTAGGCTATTCAAATCACTCTACATTAGTGGTCCATTTACCTCATCCGTCAGTAAACATTTTTTGTTATGGCTATGAAAAATACTGGATTGATCTTTTTTTTAAATATTTCATATGAAGCTTCTCCTTCCTCCCTAGTTGTGCGTGTTTGATTAAGAGACTGCTCTGGAAAACAAAATGGCCGACATTTGACCATTTTGGGGTTTTTACAATGAAAGTTTGTTATCACTATTTTTTGAGTAGTATTGGATGGATCTTTCTCAGATTGTATATGTAACTTCCTCTTTCTTCCTAATTGTGCCAGTTGGAGTTTAAGACTGATCAGGAAGAAAAAATGACCAAGAGACTGCCACCATGGATTTCAACAATGAAAGTCTATTATTGCTATTTCTTGAGAAAAATTGGAAGTAGAACTGACTGGAAAAACAAAACAGCCAACAGGCATTTAAAATGAAAGTTTGTTATTGATATTTCTTGAGAAGTACAGGATGAATCTTTCTCAAATTACATACATAGATTCCCCTTGGTACCTAGTTTTAACAAGGTCCCTCTGGGTTAGCTTGTGTGGTTATACATTACTTTGTACAAATAAATACAAAGATTGTGACAAGGGAGATAATCCCTCATTTTCCTATGGGTGACATCCCTTATGCTGCCCATGTTTTTACATTGGCTAGATATTTTTAACATGTTTAATTAATTTAAAGAACACATGTATCTAGAATAATTACAACTGGCATATGTTTCTGTATAAAATTTAGGAAAGTAACAGTACAGTGTATTTTGTACTTAAATGATACAATATTGATTGATATTTTAGGGGAACTAAACATGATTATGAACTAGAATTACCTGTGATGCAAGTTGTACAGGTAATATATGAATATGTGTTCAGGTATCCATATCAATGGATCCTGTTCATAACTTCAGATACAACATATTCATATGTACTGTCAGGCTATTGGAAACTGCATTTTAAAAAATGTTGCTTTTTCATCAAAAATGGTTGTTGTTTTGAACATTTTGGCAATCCTGAAAAAACATTGATGGATGTTTGTCTTCTGAAAGAATAGTTGAAACGAAGTTACTTTTTTTGAGAAAGATGGATGAAAGTATTCAGTGGATAAAAAACATGATTTCCAATAGCTATTAAACAGACTGTAGTACACAGGATTCTACCATGGCTTGTGGCAGCCATGTTGGATTCTTGTTTTTTACTTATTTTTGTACAAATTCAGTTGTTGAATTACTGTAAATGAGTCCATTTATTTAACTGTTGGAATGGTTTTATCCACAACTGGAGAAATTTACTTCATTCATAAAATCAAACGATGTATGGCAATCCCAATTCTCTCACTTCAAAAACTTTCAAAAACTTATATTTGATGTTGTATAATTACAAATAGGGCCAATTATTCATTTTATTTTCATTTGATCTTCCCCAATTTTACTCTGAAAAGCATATTGGGGTCTAAGATTTGACCTTTGAACTATCATATATATACAAACCATTCCAGCAGAGTTCCCTCCCTTGATGTCCACATCCGTGTGTTACTAGTTGGTCATCATAATCTCTATTTATATATATATATCTATATGTATATCGTTTTTGTTTTTATTTTTATTGAAATTTTAGCGATAGTCAGGGCCATTTAGAGTTAGAATTACCTGTCGCCCAAATTGTACAGGTAACTGTATACAATATACATTGTATATATTGATTAACAACAACCTGCATTTTTGAATGTTTTCAACCTTTTCTGCCAATTTGCTCTGTGCTTCTCTTCTTAAATGCTTTAGAACAGTTGAGATTCAATTAAAAAAAATTAGATTCTGCAACTAATTTGCTGTTTTATAGGGATGTTAGTGAAGAAACAGGAAGCTATGGTATCTGATTCCATATCAGAGCATGTATAATCTGTTTGCTTCTGGCTTAGTCTGTTTGTTTTCTGTGTACGTTAAACATGATTTAATGTTATCAAAATTTTGTGAAACAGAGAAGCCTGATATTTGAAATTATTATTTGAATCTCAGCTGTTGAAGACGATTTTCAAGTGGATCTCCTTAACTATTGCACTCCAAGTGAATATGATTAACACTGATAAAAGGGAAATAACTCCACTTTGGTATTTGGGGGTGGGGGGGGGGATGCCAATCCTGCTTAATGATATATTTTATTCTCAACTTGGTGATTTAAGTATTAGATACCAAAAAACACACAATCATCACTAAAATATTGCCTTTATTTTCTCTCAGAATATATACATGTATTTAACTATTCAGTCTGTGTTACATTTCTGAAGTAAAATTCAATTATTCTAGGTTGGCTTGAATTTTTTTCTGAGGACCTGTCACCAATAATGCACATTTCCAACAAAAGCATGTTTGTTTTTTCTTGTAATGTTTGTATTTGATTTTTAGTTTTTATATTTGCATGTCAAATCTTTGTTTCAATTTTGAAATGTTCAAATTGAATAGACATTTGAAACTAGAAGTGTTGTCATTTTTGATAATTTGAGTTTATACATCTGGGTAAATCATTGTGCCCCCATTATGACACACATACCTTCTGTATACTAAATCTACCCATCCTGTACTTCTGTAAGATGATATAAGATCACACCTCCCACCATTATATAACACAGACTTCTCACACCATCTAATCCCAACTCCTTTGTGTCACATTTGTTGACCCTCATTCCGTCCCAAGTTTCTTTCTGTTTCCCATTCATTGATGTGCGCTGATTGTTGTCCACTTTACAGTGCCCATGTTCTGATTCTTAATGTTCATCATTACCCACTTTTATTGTTTCCTACTTCACAATGCCCAATAATACCTGAGTGTTGCCCACTGCACATTACCATCTTTCTTCTTGTTCTCCATTCTAGAATGCCTTTAACATGACTGCCTGTTATGACTCAGTCCAGCTGTTCCATTTTTGCCTACTCCCTTACACAATGTCCTTTTTCCTTACTGCCCCAGTTCCAGTATGACCACTCCATGACTCTGCTGCTATTCTAACCTGCTTGATCCTTGTTACCTCCTAGCTGACTTCTCATTTTGCTTTGTTGAAGCCTTTCTATAAAGCCTATCATTCACCTATCAGTACATATCTCTATCTTGACAACAGCTCGACTGGCTCATTTCACCTATACATTGTTCTGTGTCCCTCTCCTCACTATCCTTAATGACATTCATCTTTACCCTTTTCATGTAGCCTCTTATTCAAATGGATCACCAATATTACAGCTCGACTGGCTCACTTCACCTATACATTGTTCTGTGTCCCTCTGCTCACTATCCTTAATGACATTCATCTTTACCCCTTCCATGTATCTATTCCATCCTTGGTTTCAACATTACAACAGTCTGGATGATTCCCCTTACCTTTTCACTGCACTGTCTTCGTGTCTTCTCCATCCCGTTTGACATTGACCTTAACCTTACCATTTAACACTCCTGTACAGCCTATTTCTAGGGTAACTGCTGCTATAGGCTGTTTCTGTGGCATGGTTCTCCTGTTAACTCTAAGGTGATCTCTTGTGATACTGTACATTTCTAATGTATTAAGTGATATATTTTAAGATCTTGATTTAGCTGATGCCTAATGTCATCCTTAAAATTATTTTCAATTTTTTTTATTTCAATGTTGTAAATCTTCCTGGAAATAGGATAGATATCTATATCTATATGTATTGTTTGGCATTATGTGAAATACACAAAACAACAATTTGTTAAAACTTTCTAAAAAATGGATATATATGAAAACAAGTTTAGTTGAAACTGAATTCCATTAAAAAAAATTCTCATACACATAACACTTCTTTGAAATGATCCATTATGTTGTATATGTACCGCGCTAGTCTATATTGTCTTGTCCAGATCAAAAATTTATTAGTGTACATGTTTATATTAATCTTAATGTATGACCTTGACCTCTAGATCATAGCATTTGTTGACCTTTTACCTGTGTATCTTTGGTTACAGACCTCCATAATTCCTACAATAGCTGACCTTGACCCTGATGTCCTTTCTACGATGAACTCACTTCAATGTTTTAAAGATAAAGATAAATTAGTGGAAGAATTGCTGAATTCTAAGTAAGTAACACACAGTTGTATTAATACAGAAGCTAAATGTTTGGAAACTTGGTCTTGGTCATTGCCATGTAGCCTCTCATTCACATCTCTTCACTTGGTTTCATCAATTACAACACCCTAGAAGGCAGACACCTCACTTATACACTGTTCTATCTTCCTCTCCTTGCCATCCTTATCAACAAAGTGTTATCAGTAATGGAGAACACTATTTTGACTTTAAGATGTATTTTCACCCAACTCAAATTTTAATACCGGAAACCTTTCATCAAGTGACAGCAATAAAAAGACAAAATCATTTTGTTTTTTTTTATTTTTCTGATGGCTAATTTTTTTTTTCTGATAAGCAAGACCATACATAGAATTAAGATATATTCTTCACCAAAATTATGAGACAGACAATATTTTTCTCCATTATATTGTCATTTTGTCTATTTAACATAGTTTTTTGTTTCTTTCATCCTTGGAGCGAGCATACAATAAAACAAGAAATTTTTACCGAAATAAAAACAGCGATGTCATTTGAAATCTGATATTGACTATAAGGTTGCAGTATCTCTATTAAGGGTAGACAACTTGCACATTTTCTCCATTTTTGTATTTGCATAGAAACAAATCAGAGGAAATATTCTATTATCAATTGTTTTCTTCTTTTTCAGACATAATACAGAAAAGGTTGTGTATTTTTTGCTATTAGATAGAAAATTACGAAACCCTAGTGTAGAGGATGAGTTGGATATACGAACACGGTCCGAGTCCGGTAAGTTAGCTGGTAAGTGACCGACTGTTTTTACTTCTCATTTTAAGATGATGATTCAACAGGTAAGGCATCACAAGAATCTTTTGAATGAGTAGTAAAAATGGTAAGTACTTCGTGAACTTAACAAAATCCTGCACTATGCCAGCAAAGCTATGCTGTCGTCAGAAAATATTGAGGTTATAAATAAAAATTATAATTTGATTCCTGATTTTTGTGTTTCATCAGGAGAAATTAATAAGTATGCTGTAAGATGTGTAATTTTGTGAGGTTTTATTGATAAATATTTGCTCTAAGGGGCTTTCTTAAAATGGAATCTTAGTATTTAAAAACATTTCCATTGCCTGTCATGATGAAATTTCGATTAGTTAAATATTCAAAAATTTGGTCGGAAGTCAGAGTACCATATACCAATACTCAAAAAAATTGTTATTATGAAAATAACAACTCGAAAATTTACTAACTGAAAGTAACAGCCTAAAAAACAAAGTGCTTATTATCATTTGTACTTGTATCGTAGATGAACTAAGCTACCAATTAAAATGGTTTCTTCTATTAAGGTTGTATGCTACTATAAAACAGGCAATACTTACATGAATAATCTCCCTTAGATTTTCTTAAGATGATGAAATATCAGTGATGAAATAGATAATGAAATAACTTCATGAGAGAAATGTCAGTGATCTTTTAAACAATCAATTTCTTTCCATAATTATATATTCAGCAGTGTTGTGCCACTCTCTAGTAATGAAGGTATATATTTGTGGAAAATAGCATACAGCCTTAATGCATTCTATAGAAGATGAAACATCTCTCTTGCAATGAGCTACACCTGTATCTTTTTTTATAGCCGATCCTCCGAGGAAACGAGTGGACGCTGTCCAGCTGAACGGCCAACCAAGGTAGGTATCCGGTATATTTCATGTTTTATAACATCCCTTTGAGGGGTCCTAGATGTCTTCACCAATATAGGGTAGAATCTACAGTTCCTTTGCAAAGTATTACTGAAATTCGAAATATTGTTTGAATGAATATGATAATTGAATAAAGGTGATATTTTTTTATACTCTAGAGCAGGACAAGGTATTTATCTGTAAACTAATGATTGACACCTACTACTAACATACTAATTATGTAAAATAGGTATGTACGTCTATTAGTTGTTTTTTTTTTTTTTTTTTGTTGCATTTATACATTGAGAAAGTGAAATATTATGATGCTATTTACGTGGTTTGGCCTAACAGAAAAGTGATTGAGAAATCTTCCTAGAAATTTACAGGAAGGATATCTCTACTGTAATGTTAAATCTATTATGAGAAACATCAGTGTAGTTTGTAAAAAAATCCCAATGTTGGTCATATCATGGAGAGCTCAGGTACACTATCTCTATCTGAACTTTTGTTAGAATGGACATCATGTACTGTATTGTTGTATCGGTAAGGATCAATTATCAAACAGTGGTTCTTAGCTTGAAGCAACCATCACTTGATGTTTCTTAACCTGAAATAGGAAATTACAAACACATGAAATCACAAAGCAACAAACATTATTAAGTAATTATCTAACTGGTTAAGTAGTTATTTAACTAGTTCAGTAGTTATCTAGCTGTTTACTAACATACTAACCATACTAACCATGCTTGCTTTAGCAGGTTATCCCTTGGAAGTATTAGTGAAGGGTCGCCAGTAGCATCTCGTAGAGCCCTGGCTGTTCAACAAGTGTAAGTTACCATGGTGACAAATTTGGAATAAAGAAACTTGTCATGACTGGTTCTATTGTTTTGTCTTCTATTTCAGTATTTCGATATGATCTTGTCAAACCTCCAAAAAAACCTATTCAGCGATGTATATATACTTTTTCTGGTTAAAGTGTTGTTTAATGATTCTGTACTGATTTTTTCCTTTCATCTGATTATGGTTTCATTTTATAATTTTAGAATTAATTTTACCAGTTTCCTACTTTACAAATCATTAAAACCATATATATGACTAAAAATGGTAAATGAAAATATTGAACCATAGTTACGAATTCATTTCTATTTCATTTTAGATGTAAGTTATTGTGAACATAGAAATTCCCTAAAGCTCAAATTATTTCCATCGGAGTTATGATTTCCATCTTTTCCAAAACAGTCACCATCTTTTCTACCGTTTGCATTTTACTGGAAATAAAAAGATTTACAATGATGCTTTTTCCTTTAAACTGTACAAGGATTTGGTGCGGTAGATTTCTGCTACTTTGAAATTTCTAAGTGTTTTTTACAAACGTTACAAAATGTACTGGTACATGATTTTGTAAGGATAATCATGTGTAATATTGTTTACATAATTTACCTGTTTTTTAAATTTCAGACGGAAAGCGAGTCTGACAGGCAGTCCAAGTTCCTCACCCATCCTGAGTCCCCGCCTCCCCGTGAGGGGTACCCCCTCCCACAGTCCTTCAGCCACACCCCCTGGTTCCCCTAGTATACAGTCTACAGCCTGGAAGTCTCGCTTACACACGATCAAAAACAGCTTTCTCGGCTCACCACGCTTTCACAGGCGAAAATTACAAGGTATTGCCTACACCAATGGTATAATTCTGGAGATGGATTACTTGGCAGGTGAATTTTGTTAAATATACTTGGCACAACCTGTCACATGGTGTTGTGTGCATTGGCTGATTGGTTAGTTGACTGGCTGGCATGGCAACCATTGGTATGGAGCGGTAAAAAAATCTTCTTTGTTCCTTTACCTACCGACCACTGAAAGCAAATTGTTTTATCATTTTATAGATTGCATTTTAGATTTGTCTCCCTTTGTACACAACATAGAAGTACTGTATTTTCACTTGTACTAGAATTTTTCTGAACATGGACATTTCGCTGCTTTATACGATGAACTAACTGCAGAGTGAAAATACAAGAAAACAAATTAACTATTAAACTTGCATTCTCATTATCTTGTTATTACCTCCCTTGGCTAGGAATTCTTCAATAGGTTCAGCCTATAACACAGATGTTAAATAAATATAGTCATGTTTATCAACAAAGCATCCTTGTCTGCAAGGATAATCATTGAACAACCATTTTGTTTTGAGCTATCTAGGATTACTAACTTGTTTTGTAAGATTAATCCTCCTTTGAACTTTTCTAATGATTGAACTAATCCTAGTTTGACTATACAATATATACTTGGTAGTTTGTTTCTTCTCTATAAATGTGGCATTTGACTAATTCTAGTGTGAATATTCTATATTCTATACTAAAAATCTGTTTTATCGTTATAAGATTTAGTATTTGACTAATTCCTTTGTCCATATTTAAGGATTAACTTTAATTATTTTCTCCGAGTACACTCTTCTTCCATTATGGATCATTACAATTAAGAATAATTAAAGTTAATCCTTATGATTTAATTAGATTGCAATATTTTTTGACATCCATAATAGACTTTTTTCCTTGGTAATTTCTTACACCACTGCAGTAGCCAATTAAACCTGATATTTAGAAATGACATCATTGTGTCAAGGATTAAATTGTAATATAATCTACAGTTTTTTTCTTCTTAAAGTGTATTACATATTTGACAAATTTCAGTTAGTGTATGATGTACTCGATAGCCTTTTTCATATTCATTATAGCTGGTATTTGACAAATTCTAATGTGAAATACTTAAACCCCTTGTGTACTACTAGTTTCCTGTAAGTCTAGTTAATATCAGCCCTAACAGAACCTCTCTAGCTATTGTCTGATCATGTGTCTAGTAAGTCTGAGATCCCAGTTTTGATCCCTAGAGAGGGAATTGAAATGAATAATGACCTTGGCACCCCTATAGGGATTCAGAAATAAGATTGTCCCACAAATATCCCTCTAACCTCTGGGAACTTGAGGATAAATTCTTACTTGGAGTGGGAGTATATATAAAATTGGTAAATACCAGCCACAATATATTTCTTGGCTAGAGGACATCTCCATAGCTCAATTTGTCAATCATAAGATTATTATACTAGAAGTCCAAGGTTTGATCTGTCACGGAAGGAAATAAATAATGACCTTGTTACTATGGTTCCCATATAGGGACATGGGAATAAGAATTGTCCCACAGACATACTTGTAACCCCTGGAAACAAAGGGACAAATTCTTTCTTCAGAAGGTTTTTTTATAACCTTGGTTACTATAAGCCATACTATTCAACCTTAGATTAGTATGTCAGATGTCAAAGGTTTGATCCCTCAAGGATCTGTTACATTCAAAATGAAAAAATTTAAGATTTTCATATCTGAAATTTCCTAAAATTTTACATTTTCAGCTGTTCATTTATACTCAGATTGTTGAATGTTGAATGTCCTGCTTAGTTTAGTTGGATATCCAACTGAAAGAATTGCCAATGAAAAATGTTTGGTATTTAAAAGCACCAGAGTAATATTTAATATTATTGTTAGTGGGTGCAAGAAGAGATCTAATGCTACATCACAATTATTGTAATTTAAAACAGCGTCATAGAAAGCATTCAGGGATTGCAACCATGATATATCATGTAGCCAAGTGAAAAACTGTGTCGTAATCTGTATCCTGAAAGAGAGAAGCATTCTGTGACTTATGGAAACTCTGTAACTGACATATCATAGGTTCTTCAGAAATTAATTACCAAAATTAAGGAAAACATTTTAATAAATATAGTCTTTAAATTCTGTAATGTCTTCCTGTGAATGATGTAATTGAATGCATTTCCTCAAGTTTACGAATGAAACTTCAGGGGCCAAGTGTTAAAGATAAAGAGTCATTCTCAAACAAGAGTACATGTACATGTTTTTAAAGACAAAGTTTAAAATCCAGAAAAATTAACTGAATAAATTGCCATAACAGAATCCATTGTTCTGTCATTCAGACAAAACTTATCCTGACAAAATTGCTCCTAAAATGCTTTTGAATGGCCTTGAAGGCTAAATAAAACAAAAAAAAGGAGGTATTTTAGTTTTTGCATGATTGTTTTTTTATGTATGTATTAACCTATTGGTATTACTTATATTGACCTATTGACCTTTGGTGAGTATGTCCACTTATTCCTGCCTTGTTCTGTATGCTTGCAGTGCCTACAGAAGAAAGTACATTGTCTATGACTCCTGACTCTTCTCCAGAGTAAGTAACCTTCACCTTTTTGTCATTTGACCTTGGCTATTTAACCTAGTTTGATTTTCTGCTGTTGTACTCATTACTTTATTATACGTTTATACTAAGTGTGACACATGAATTATAAATATAGTTTTATAATCAGCTTCACCCCAAGGCAAAGAGACAAGTTAAACATCAAGTTGAATCTTGGCCCGAGATGCTTGGATTCAAGGATAGTAGAATTGCTTTATTTCACCTGTAATATAATGTTAATTTCTTCTGCCTATTCCATGACACATTTTTTTGTTATATTCTTACTTCCTATTCACAATTTGCCTTTCGATTCTGTCTCAATAAAACTTATCTGTGTGTCTGTTAATATGATACTACGTGATAGATCGCTATTTTGTATTGAATAATACTTGAAATGTGCTCATTTGGAGTTATGTAATGACCTTGGTGTGACCTTGACTTTTTAGGATGACAAAGAAGTCCTGGTTTGGGGCCCTGATGGGTGCTGATCGTGAGGAACATCACTTTATCATGGCTCAAGATAAACAGTTGAGTCAGGTCAAGGCCGACCTCATACATGCATTCCTCTCAGTAAGTGTGATCAAAATTCTATATCTTGGTACATAAAAAGTGTAGTATGAATCTAAAATTAGGTAATCCATCACCACTTATTCAGCCAGTATTTTTTTAAAAGTTTCTCAGCAAGACCGAGCTTCATTGAACAATTTTGATAGGTTGAAATCTCAAGTGTGTTTTTCCCTTTGATCTTTTTCGATTCTCCAAATATCTAGGCTAATTACAACCAATATGTATCCATAGTGACGTTACAGGCCTAGTAAGTTCTGAATGGAAATGGGATGTGGGGAAAGAAAGTGGTGTAGATTTGGACATTTATACAAATTACCTAGACGCCAACTGAGCTGTCAGGTGATTTTAAGGAACATCTTTATAAAGTATCTGGTAATTTTGAAAAAAGAACTCTTTCTTGTCTATAAGTGGAACCAATAGAAGGGAACTTGTAATAGAGTGTTCAGGATTGGAATATTGGAATTATCTAACTGTTCAGCCATGTTTAGATGAAAATTAAGACTAACAAAGCTGCAATATGATTCGCAGACAGCAGACTTATCTCACAATGTGGTATCCACGACAACTTTCCGAGCAGAATACCGGCGGTCAGGAAGTTCTTCCATGTTCTCAAGAAACGTCAGATTTCAGGTGGATATCACGCCTGCCACTCACGGCGGTGGACCATCCGAATGTAACATGTTCTGTCTTACTTTCACCTTAATATCAGGTCAGTAGTCCAAGGTCATAGTAGGTACTATGATGGAGCAAGGGAAATGTAAAGGTTTAATATTATTTGAACACGATTTGTATATTTGAAGGTTCAGGTCTATTTTAAATTTTTTGACGGTGCAATCTTTATAAATCAGGTTTAAAGTTTTTGCTCCGACCAAGGTAGTGATCTTGAATTTTTTTTCACTATTTACAGTGGTGTATTGAAAAAAAAATAAAGCTGATTCTTTGAAATCTATTCCAAACTGTAACTAATTGATGTTAGTACCATGCTGATGTAGCATTAAAACATTAAATAAAATTTACTCACTATAGGACCATCACGGAGATTCCGACGAGTGAGCGAGCATCTTCAGAATCTGATGTTAGGGCCAAGAGGTGATGCACTTAATCAACGTAAAGTCAGTACAGACAGTACGTCGTCATATACATCAGAGACAGGAATGTCCCCCACCCATAGCTGTTCAGCCAAGGAAAATGGGGATGACCAAGAGGTAGGAATATCGTGGGAGAGTGATGTTTTATATTTACTGCCAAAATAAGAAAGTTGTCAACAGGTTGATATACAATATTTGTGCAATATGATTTTATTTTTTAATCAGTATTACGTTAATGCATAATTGCTAAATATGAGACTTATCAGCAAACATCCATGTTGCCATCTTGTCTAACTTTATACACCCATCTAGGACAGATTGTATTATACTGCAGAAGTTCCATCCCCAAAGTCTAGATCACTGTAACTGGTATTAGAATCACCTTGTCTCTATCCCATTGTGAGACTTATAGAATCTTCTCCAGTTAAGTAGATCAGGTAGTTCAAACCCGAGAATTCAAACCATCTCTGAAGCAAATCCAAGACTCACAGATTTTCTCCGGTGATTTAAAAGAAAGACTTGAAAAGTAATTTCAGTGGCATTGAAATAACAGAATATTATTATCTTGTGTTAACATCCCCTTTTATCATTTTGTTTATTCACAATCACCATGGTAGTTTCTTGTAAAATCACCATGGAGATCCTGGCCTGTTGTGAATTATTTCACTCTATGATGATGTACCAATATTTTGCACTTTATGCTTACTAACAAATATTTCAGAGTTGTATTTGATTATTAAATGGTAACCATTAAAATCTGTCTCAATAGACAAAATGGATGTTTTTTATGATTTTCTGTTTCAGGTGTTTGACAGAAGAATATCGAAAACCCCAACCCCTACCCGACGGGAAGTTCCACGAGTTATCACTAATGGCAAGCGGGTGTTAGTTGACCATAATGTACGCAAAGACAAAGTCTGACCATGATTTCACTTGATAGAATGTACATACATTATGTCTGTGGCCATACAGATCCTAGTATAATATGTAAAGGGCAAAGATCATTTACTGTCAAGTGCATGTCTATTCAAAGGAAAGTCTTAACGGTGGTGGGAACTGTCATCCAAAAATCAAAATGATGTTTGTGTTCTAACCTTTGTCCAAAGTGTTGTGTGGCAGAGGACATGGCGTTAATTTTATGCAAGGTTGACGATGCAAGGGCAAGGTCAAATTTTCAATGTACTGGTCAGGTATTTGACCAATCACTGATACAAAGGTACTGCAATGATACCTTGAAGTCAAGTTTAAGTTGAGAAATTGACAAAAGAAATGTATTTGAATGGATGAATGGGAAAATCCTGGCTAGGAAGAACATATTTATCACATGTGAACAAACTTACATGAACTGATGTTCCAGGTCATTAGTCACATAGTCGATAGACGATTGAGGTCTTTAGACACAAAGTCGACAGATGTTCCGGGTGATTAGACACATAGTTAACAGATGTTCCAGGTCATTGGACATTTAATGAGCTTACGTGACTGTCTGTAAGTGGACCAATCATAGCTCTCAGGACTCATCTTTACATAAATTATTCATTATTGATAATGATCGGCATTGTGAAGGGTGTTTCACAGTCAGATTAGAAGTAATCTACTCTCACCAAGTATGTGTGCTTGTGGTCTACACAACGCTCTGGGGGAGGGACAATTCATCTGCAGGGAATAATGAGAGTTGGGTTAGGATTCTAGGAGTTGGGAGAGAGGGGCATTAAAGATATAGTCTATGACCAGGAGTCATTTAGAGGTTATCTCTAGTCCACCATCATCAGATAGTAGACTGTTCAAATTGCTCTATATCTATGGTCTGTTGTCTGTCTATTCGTATTCGACAAATCTTTCTCAAATTTCATATGGAGGTTCCCCATAATTCCTAGTTTTGGCCATTCAATTTTTTGACTGATCAGGAAAACAATGGCCAACAGGAAGACATTTTGGATTTCATATATAGGTTCTCTTTATGTCCCTAATTGTGCCCATTTTATCTTGGATTTAGAGGTTATGAATAATTGTTTCTATCTCTGCAAAGGAATGTTCCAATTTCATATTGTTAGGAGTGAAATCAATGGTGAGAAAAGAAAGGAAAATTTCCAGCCTTCAAAGAACTAATAAAGATCAAACAATGGTGGGCTCCAAGCTCCCTCTTGGATCTCTTGGCCTTTTTTTACATTGTTGTGGGTTGTGGGTTAACAGCCAGGTTCATTTGAGGATGTGCCAGGTTTGAGTGGTGGAAGAGTAGGAAATCCCAGAGAATAACCATCGACCTGCTGTCATTATCTGGCAACTGCCCCATGTAGGCCACAACCGAGAGATAGAGGGCTTGTGATAAAGACGGTCAGATGCCTTAACCAGTTGACTGTGACAGCCCACTTGAAGGGTGGGAGGCTTAAAAGTAAAGTAAATGGTATGAGAAAGAGGAAACATAAATGAATTTGGTTGGGAAAGGCAAACTAAATGAAGGATAATGAAATGAGGGATGGGACACTTAAATGAAGGAAAGGGTCTGGGAGAAAGACTGATAATGAAGAGAGAATGATAGTACTGCAGGCAAGGGCTTATGTATTACTTTGATTTTAGAGCAGTATCTGACATTAGAAGATGGATTGGTAAGGACAGAAGGAGGACCATAGGAAGCACCAAGCATGTTGTCATAGAAGTGATCATTGGAGGGGCTCTGTCTCTATCACAAGGGAGGGGCTCTGTCTCTATCACAAGGGAGGGGCTCTGTCTTTATCAGTAGGGAGGGGCTCTGTCTCTATCACAAGGGAGAGGCTCTGTCTTTATCAATAGGGAGGGGCTCTGTCTTTATCAATAGGGAGGGGCTCTGTCTTTATCAGTAGGGAGGGGCTCTGTCTCTATCACAAGGGAGAGGCTCTGTCTTTATCAATAGGGAGGGGCTCTGTCTTTATCAATAGGGAGGGGCTCTGTCTCTATCACGAGGGAGGGGCTCTGTCTTTATCAATAGGGAGGGGCTCTGTCTCTATCACAAGGGAGGGGCTCTGTCTCTATCACGAGGGAGGGGCTCTGTCTTTATCAATAGGGAGGGGCTCTGTCTTTATCACGAGGGAGGGGCACTGTCTCTATCACTAGGGAGGGGCTCTGTCTCTATCACAAGGGAGAGGCTCTGTCTTTATCAATAGGGAGAGGCTCTGTCTTTATCAATAGGGAGGGGCTCTGTCTTTATCAATAGGGAGAGGCTCTGTCTCTATCACTAGGGAGGGGCTCTGTCTCTATCACAAGGGAGAGGCTCTGTCTCTATCAATAGGGAGAGGCTCTGTCTTTATCAATAGGGAGGGGCTCTGTCTTTATCAATAGGGAGGGGCTCTGTCTCTATCACAAGGGAGGGGCTCTGTCTCTATCACGAGGGAGAGGATCTGTCTTTATCACTAGGGAGAGGATCTGTCTTTATCACTAGGGAGAGGATCTGTCTATCACGAGGGAGGGTCTCTGTCTCTATCACGAGGGAGGGGATCTGTCTTTATCAATAGGGAGGGGCTCTGTCTCTATCACGAGGGAGGGGCTCTGTCTCTATCACAAGGGAGGGGCTCTGTCTCTATCACAAGGGAGAGGCTCTGTCTTTATCAATAGGGAGGGGCTCTGTCTTTATCACGAGGGAGGGGCTCTGTCTCTATCACTAGGGAGGGGCTCTGTCTCTATCACGAGGGAGAGGCTCTGTCTTTATCAATAGGGAGGGACTCTGTCTTTATCAATAGGGAGGGGCTCTGTCTTTATCACATGGGAGGGGCTCTGTCTCTATCACTAGGGAGGGGCTCTGTCTCTATCACGAGGGAGAGGCTCTGTCTTTATCAATAGGGAGAGGCTCTGTCTTTATCACATGGGAGGGGCTCTGTCTCTATCACAAGGGAGGGGCTCTGTCTCTATCACGAGGGAGGGTCTCTGTCTCTATCACAAGGGAGAGGCTCTGTCTTTATCAATAGGGAGGGGCTCTGTCTCTATCACAAGGGAGGGGCTCTGTCTCTATCACAAGGAAGAGGCTCTGTCTTTATCAATAGGGAGGGTCTCTGTCTCTATCACAAGGGAGGGGCTCTGTCTCTATCACAAGGGAGAGGCTCTGTCTTTATCAATAGGGAGGGGCTCTGTCTCTATCACGAGGGAGGGGCTCTGTCTCTATCACGAGGGAGGGGCTCTGTCTCTATCACATGGGAGGGACTCTGTCTTTATCACTTGGGAGGGGATCTGTATCACGATGGAGGGACTCTGTCTTTATTACTTGGGAGGGGCTCTGTCTTTATCACAAGGGAGGGGCACTGTCTTTATCACGATGGAGGGGCATGCATGAGGGTTTGATCTGGTTATCAGGAAGGACAAGAAAGGGAGATAATTTTCTTATCATTAATAGGACAAAGATTTTAGGATCTGATTTTGTGTATGTCCTGTTACTGGAGATAAACCTTTTGTGAGGTTGAGGCTGATTGGGGAGGGGATTTTTCAGTAAGGCTTTCTGTTCAGGATGTTCATGCTGAGGGTGGGGAAATTAAGGCAAGGCTATTGATGCCGGGGGATGGGGTTAAGAAAAAGATCTGTGTAGTGAGATATCAGTGGGTCCATTGTATGTTCTCTAAGTTAGAATGTGTATAAGTATTTATATGATTGTGATTGGCTAGTTCATTCTGGTTTTCATTGTACATACCATTCTGAGTGTGGTGAAGGCACAATATATATAGACAGGTGTACGACTTGTGATAAAGGTAGATAAAGCTACAGTTGTTTTGTATGAGATTAAAACCACAGTTTGGAATTATATCTTCTGTGGTATTACAACTTGTTTTTGTATGTAATTCTGGTTGAATGTAAATTATCAGTATTGTATACTGTACACAAGGATGTTTTCATCCTAGGGTATTTTCACTCTTGTATGATTTTACATGAATTCACAAGTTTGCCCTGTGAGGGTTATATAAATAGGTTATATACACATAACAAATTTTCACCCTCATCATAGATTTGCCTCCTGTTTATGGACAAAAAGGGTGAAAATTTACTGGTATTCAGTACATATATAAAGAGCTGATAGATGCAGCTCTGTGATTTAGAGAAATATAGACTAATTTTTAAAGTTTTAAAGATTTCCCGTGGTATGTTGTATGATGCTTTAGCACAGATTTAGGGAGTAACATAAATCTTTTCAACTTTACAAAAGCAAATTTAGCATTTTAACTTGTGGAGAAAAATTATGATAAAAATTAGGGTTTGTGCAATACACAAAGTATTATGATTTCTTGTTGCTAAATATGCAATTTTTATAAATGAATGTGAGAGAATCTGTATGTGAAGGTGTTTTGAAGGAATTGTATCTTGCATAGCTTTTACATGACATGTTTGTGAGTGAATTGAAGAAATTTAAATATTGTAAATTAATGTTTAGTGTAAGTTGTATGCAGGACATTCTGTGTTGTACTAAAAACTCTAAATCAGACCTTCAGCTACACCGAACCGTTAGTACGTATGTACCTAACCTCAAACTGATGTAATGTGTAACCCTGTATAATCAAGAGTTCTAGCTAGATCCCATTGTATACATATCTGACTGAACCTGTGTAATATAAGTCCATCTTTATAAGCCTGTAGCATGTATACCCACATAAACCTGACCTCAGCTTGACCCCTTTCTATACATTTCTGTGTAGACTGAACCTGTGTATTCTGTCCTTAACTTGTGGATTCTGTCCTTAACCTGAGTATTCTGCCTGTGTATTCTGTCCTAAACCTGTGTATTTTGTCCTTAACCTGTGTATTCTGTCCTTAACGTGTGGATTCTGTCCTTAACCTGTGTATCATGTCCTTAACCTAAGTATTCTGTCCTTAACCTGTGTATTCTGTCCTTAACCTGTGTATTCTGTCATAAACCTGTGTATTCTGTCCTTAACCTGTGAATTCTGTCTGAATGTGTGTGTTTCATCAACATATGTTATAGAAATATTAATATATTGGAAGTCTTGGTTACCAAAGCAAATGCAAGGTGTATATGT